CTTTAGCCACAATCCTTTTGAATTGCAAGGTTTTTGCATTCTTGGTGGGAACACAAATTATTTCTAGGCCTGTCTAAGCTCTTGGGATTTTCTTTCTAACTCTTTAGATTTTTTCTGGCCTCAAGTTTTCATATATCGACTCTTAGCCAGCTGAAGACTGGAGGGGGACTCCGTAGATCTCCAGGGTTCTCTGTGTGTGGCTCATTCCTCCCCTGTGCCCTGTCCTGCAAACTCAAGCTGCCTTGGCCTTCCTGAACTACCCACCGACTCTTCAACTCTGGCAGTCTGCCAAAAGTCCTTCCATCCCTGAGTTGAAACACATAAACTTTCTCCAGGCTGTATTCTGGACAGTCACAGGGCTCGCCTTGTTTACTTTCTCTCTCTCAGGTAGTACTGCTTTTTATTGCCAAATATTACATGCCTGAAAGCCCTTGTTTCCTGCATATACGTACATTTTTGTTTCTTTCAGTTGTTTCTGATTAGGAATAAGTCTGGTTAGTTCAGGTTAGGAATAAATCTGGCTGGTCTCTGTTACTTCATCTTGGCTGGAACTGAAAATCCCTATAGATTTATATCATTTTAAATATAAAAATTCTGAGGCTCCAAAATATTTGAAAATTTTGTCAAGATCATTTTGCTACTAAGTAGTGGAGATAAACATCACAATTTGGGTTTCCAATTTCTAAATGAATGTCTCTCCATTACACTACACTGCTTCTATTAGAGGGAATTAACTACAAATTGCCTTTTGAATAAAAAATGATGAACTGCAGTCTTTTCTAGGAGAAACTGATAAATTAAATTTGAACAAAAGATTCTAGAATTATCATGTCATATCATAAAATACTGGAGGGGGGGTCTGATACATTTTGCACTTTGAATGGAGTCATATTTTCATCTCATTTTAGCATTTGTATTGTGGTTCTGATTGTGGAGACTATGATGTTGGGAAACCGCTCATTTTAATGATCTGATACTGATAATCTTTCTACTGGAAAGTCCCCATCTGGCTCAAACTTCAAATTCTGCATTTTCTTAGGACTTAGGATGTGACTTCTTTGCAAATTTACTGGAATTCGTTTTACAAAGGAGAGCAAAATATTCCTAAACTACATAAACATGGTGAAATGAGAGATGCGGAAAAGTATGTGTATAAATTCTCACAGTTCATTTTTATTACTTTCACTACGCAATTCCATTTAACATTTTCTGAAACAGCAATAAATTTTTGAATGATAAAACATATGGCATTTTGAGTATGCCAAGTCAGAGATACTATTTAGGTAGCATTATATTACCAGGAGGCTCTCTGTTTAATGAGAAAGGGGCACTTATCCCTTTACAAATACTTGGGTTATAAATATATACTATATGTATGTATCTATAAACACAGATAATCTGTGTTTTTCACAAGCAATGTCTTTGATAATAAAACATTATGTAAATAATGCTCCGCCACACACAACTTCTTTTAAATGCATGAGAGGCTGATTTTTTTCAGCAACAGAAAAAGCTAAACTCTAAGTGGTGATTCATATACAGGTATCGTTATATCTTTCCATTGAAAATATGTATGTATATATCATATTACATATATCCTTACTGATTAAGTATTTAAGTAATTTTTAATGTTACATAAAAATGAGGTTTTAATCCTTGTTTCTTTTACTATTTGTGTATTAATATTTAAGCTTTCCCTAGAAGCCTTCCACAGTGGCACACAGCCTCAGGCATCTTTCTTATGCACCAATATGTTGACTATTTTCTCTCATACCTGAAGTGAATGAGTTGACCTCTCAGACTCCTTCAGCACTAGGATAAAACGTGGTAGATGACTATGCTAAGAGTTCTTTATTATAGAATATCGTTGTCCTTTTGAATATCATTATCTACATTAGAACACTGAAAGGCAATTGTCTCCTTCATTATTTCCATCAGGAGAAACAGGTCATGTGCTTAAAGTCTAAAAGGTGCTGAAAATGTGATTAAACCGAAGGGTATGAATTATAGCCTATATTCTTTTTCTCCACCTTTGATTTTTCAACATTTTTGCCAAAGCTACAGCTTAAAAATAATACTGTGTGGTAATCTCTATTTTAAGATAGATAAGGTATTGTTTATTAGTACAGATATACTTTTATAAATCCAAAATACAAATATTTACTTATGAGGTTCATGAGATAATTTTTTTATACATGCAAATTTGAAATCTAAGATTATAGATAACAGCTTCAGCCTTTTTAATGATCTCTCCCTTCCAAATTATTTCTATACTGTTGGATTTGCAGTGATAAAAAATCCCTTATTTATAAAGATCAGTCATTTCATAAGAAAACAGCTCTTTTTAAACAGTATGCCTCATAATCTTGAGATGCCCTTAAATTAAAGTGATCCGAAGAAACTAAATATTATTAGCAACTTTTGTTTGTATAATGGCCACTTAGGGTATTTAATACACTCACATTTCTTATATGAATTATCTCAGACAGGATGCTATTTATAATTCCACATGTGTTACATAACAGTATAATGACATTACCTGTGTGTTTTCAATAGTCCAAGAGCACGGCAGAGACAGCCAAGCGTTGCCTGGCCTCACATTATGTAAGTTGTGGCAAATAACACACTAGGTATATATCACTGCACAGTTTAATTTTGCCACAGAGTTTTGACTAGAAAACACGGTTAGGCATAACATAACTATGTGAGCCCTCAATAAATGTTCATTATTGACAATAGTGTCAATTATACTCTTGCTTTTTTGGAAAATGATTATATCATATAGGCTTCTATTGGCTTGCCACTGAAATAAAGATATATTCAAATGAATGTGTATTTTGAGATTACTAAATCAGATTTAATTTTATTCTCATATTTTCATGATACAATTTTGTTATACTCCTCTTTTAAATAATTTTTTTCCTGAATAAATGCCAATTACAAGAGACCTATGTGCCTCATCCTTATTTCAATTTTGTTTTGCTCTTAATTTGCACTCTACTCTCTTGAGACGAACATTATTTCTGGTACTTAACCTTATGATTTTTACTTCTTCATCCTCTCATTAGACTTTATGTTTGCTTTCCCTAGTGTCTTCAACTTTTGATATATTTCAACGTTTTTAAAATGAAGAGTCATTGAGGACTTGTCCCGTACGGAAGCACAGATTCCTCATTATTCAATGAGAAAATCTTTATGACAGTAATTTCTCACACACATAGAACTAAAATTAATTATGGCAGGTTCCTTAAAGAAATAGTCAAAGGATGGGAAGATCAAGTTGAAATCATATTCCTTCAGACTGATAAAATGTTTTCATTAATAGAGTCCCTCGTTTATACGTGCTGTCTTTGATGCTTTTTGCTGTTCCACTGCTGATTCTTATACTTTTCTTAATATTAGTGTATTACCAAGTATATTTCAGTCATGGAGAAAAGAAAATAAATATGCCGTATCAAGGACCTTAAAATCACACTGATTTGTATAACAGAAGATAGGTACTGATACTTATTTAAAGTCTTATTTATGTGACTATGCAAATAATTTTTGGGCTGGATGACAAGGATGGTAAAAAACAAGTGGCAACATAGTTAATGACAATAAAATATATGGCTATTAATTGTATGGTATTTCAAGGCAACTTTTAACTTCTATTATTAGAAGGTACAGCCAAAAGTTTTGAAATTTCAGAGTTCAAAATTCAAAGACATGAATATTTGAATGCTAGCTGAGGATAACAAGATGGGTTTTAAGGATGTGAAACGTTTATGAAAACCAAGTGAAAGCTGTAAAGCTCCTTTAGAGCTATGGTGTCAATGTACATTTTACATGTGAAGAACTATAAATTTAACTTTAATAGACTTTTGCAGTATAAAATGAAATTCCCATAGTTGGGACTTTTATTTTGAAACATTTTAAAAGAAGCCATTGTTACTAGGTGCTTCATATGCCAATCTGTAATGACAATATAACTTAAAGTTTGTTAAGAAGACAAACTTACCATTTTCTAAATTGCAGATATATAATGACAATATTATGAAACCAGTCCCAAGAAAAACACAGTTATCTTCTGGCTCTAGAATTACTCCTGGCATATTCATACTTTCTGGACTAAAGAATTAATATGGACTATCTTAACAAATAAAATATTTTCTTCATATTTATTCTTTACTTCCTTATCTAAAATCAAAGTTTTTGCTATCTCCACAGCTTTGATTTACCACAAATAATGCTCAAAGATTCAAAATATTCTCAAAACTTAAAATAGTTTAAAACATGTTTCATACTAGCAAAGAAAAACTATATTATTCAATAACACATATACATTATTTAGTAGACTCTCATTAAAGATGCAGATACAACTGTGTTTTTAACCTTATAAATGTACAAATGGAATTCTTGTGTTTCATAAAATCAGCTGCTACACTATTCCTCATCAGCAAGGATAAAATATTGTATCTAATTGCTAATATTTATATCACTGTATAATAAAAGCTAAATATAACAAAATAACATTATAGAATGAAGAGCACATAATTGCAACAATAAGATAAATATTTATTTCAAATTAATTATAAAATCTAGACAGTATGGGGTAACATTAAATTTTTAACACTAAATTATTACATTAAAAATGTTTTGAGTTCATGTTTGCTAATCTTTTGTTCTCTACTCTCAGCTATTTTGCCTTTAGAAATCCAATTTACTTACCTTGGATGGTGATTCTGAGGAACGTAGGCTCAAACATGGCACTACTAACAAACCTGTCACCTAGATTAGTACATATTATCTCCTCTATTATTTCTGACTTTAAATATATGATGAATATAATGCTTTCATATGGCACACTATATATAATGTTAAAATATAATGTAACATATTGTAATATATTAAGAACAGAAATTTACATAGAAATATATACACTGAAGCAGAAACAAAATAGTTTCAAAACAAATATTGTTATTAGCTTAGTCCAAAACATTAGATAAAAATGATCCTACCTGATGAATCAAAATTCACCTCATTGCCAGGACTTGGACCTATATCTATGGACACAATTGGTAACAGCTTCCGAAAGTCCCATAGCTTTGTAACCCCACAGGCATCACAGGATGCTATCATGTGACCCTTAAAAATAGAAGATAAACAAAAAAAATCACTATATATATATACATATATACACACACGCGCACACACACACACACACACACACACACACACACCCTGCATATAAACAAATATTTTTGGTAACCTACAGACAAAATGTAAGTGTTATAATTTTATTACAGCCATAAGATTACATTCCTCTCAACTAAAAAGTGTTGTTAATAACTTTATTTTGGACATCAAATTATTTAAAGTGATATTCTTAATATATGAAATCCTACACTAAGTTTTTGGAGAAAACGTTTCAGGCAAGCATTTTCATTTCAACTATTTTGAAGATGTAACAAAACAAAAACATATACACTCATAATTTGCCTATATATACATATATCACATGTCATACATATGATATGTGTAACACTTAAAAACTGTGAATGTGAGAAAATTATATGCACATTTCAGCTTTTATGCTTACATTTAGCATTCATAATTTATACCTCAAATAGAGAAAAAAAATAAAAACAGAGGTAGGAAGCAAACTGGACACAATGAGAGAAGAATATAATCAGAGCAGGTAGAATAACAGGGACCAAGTGATGTTGATGGCAATAAAATGGTGCCTATTGTAGTCTGCTAGTCGAAATTCTCAAGAAACACAGTTGGGCTTGCTTTGGTAAATGTAGTGGAACAAGGAAGAAGGTAATTGGATAAAAGGGATAGAAAATGGAAGGGCAGATGGTTTGAAGTGACATGGCAACAGAAGGTAGGGAAAAGATACTTTTCCAGCATAGTAGTAGCAGCCCAGGCTCATCAGTTCGGAACCCAGGGTCTGTCTACATGCCTCCTGCTGGTCTCTCAGGAAATGTTTATTGAGCATCTACTTTAGGACAGGAAATGGGGATATGCTGGTGAATAAATGGGGTTTCTGCTCCCCAACAACTCATAATCTTTGTTCATTCTCATCATTCTGATCATTTAATTTCTTCATCCTCTCACAAACTGAATGAGTATTGGTCACATTAAAATGATCAATTATGTTTATAATAAATCAATATACTGTTTCCAATCTGATGTACAGTTTCCCTTTCAGCTGCAATTCAAATCTTTTAACGTCAACTTAAAAACCATCCTCTCATTTTCTCCCTACAATTTTTAATATGTTAAATAACTTAATTATCATATAATTTTCCTTATCATTTTTGAATTAGCTCACATATTTTCTCTTACTCCTGAATTCTTTCTGTAAAATAAAAGTACATCCTGTTTTACAGTTTAAGCAGATTCATTGTTTTTCTCTAAACACACCAGTAAGGCAATGAATGCAATTAGTTTCAAAATTCTATAACTGTTGCCACTGGAACAGTAATACAACAGCCTTGTCCCAATCTAATAAATGAGATGCTTAATATTTTTTATGACTTAAAAGGAACATGGAGAACTTGGACTGTCCTCAAATACGTAAACATGTATTATAAAAATTGTGAGGAATCAGTGAATTTCATTTCAGAAAAGGAAAAAACAGTTCTCAGTATTAACATGGAATATTAATGTTAGAAATTAGAAAGTATTCCCTCCAAATACAAGGGCTCTCAATTATCTTACAGAAGTCAGAGAATGGAAATTTATTTCAATTTGAGAAACTCTAGAGTAGATAGGTTTTCACCGGAATTTAATTTGTATGCACCTGACACTGCAAGCAGGTGATGGACTTGATGTTCTTTTTTTTTGTCTGGAGTCTGTGAATTAAAAAAGATTGTAAAGTATGTTTTATCCCACTGAATATTAAAATTTGAGGAAGTATACTTAAAATAAAAAATAGTTTCATTATTTTTATTGGTTGAAAATGAATAGGTAAACAGTTTTGATATTTTTTCATTTAATACTTAAAACTTTTATTGCTGTCAGATCATATTATCAAGCTCAATAGTTAGATAATATGAAACTAAGTCAATATTTATTAAATCCTTTTAATGATCCAGGTACTGTGCTAAGTGCTTCATTAATAAACTAGTACATAACAAATTTAAGCAATTTTGAATAACTAACATCCTTTAGTTAGAGTTTTCCCATTGCCTTAGAAACTTAAAAGCCATGACAAAGTATGTAATATGGTAAAATGAATATAATAATGTTTTAAGTAATAAATTTGTGTTCAGATTTAATAACTGAAAGATATTTGGTAATGGAAGAACAGCTTAGCTATATATCTAGTTAGCTAGTGAGGCAGATGTAGTGCCTATTACAGTGTTTGGAGCATAGGAGAGCTCAAAAAAATATCTGTTGAGCTGATAGATGAGTAATGCTTCCTCAAAGCTTACCTAAAAGTTTTATTTTGGTCCAGTCCTTCCAAAGCAGTCTTGAGGTAAATTTTAATTCTAACCCTGATGGTTGTGAATCACTTACAAGACAGAAAGCAATAGAAGAGACAGAGAATCTAGAACAGATACTTAGAATATTCGAATGCTCTGTATCCTTGTTATTTCTCTCAATTCAAGAAAATTGGAGGGCCATCTGTCAATCTCCTTCCTTGAGACAGAAGAAACTAGAATGCTGTTAATCCAAACTGTGTAGTGTGAGTTTTGAGGGATGTAAAGACAAAGAGATGTGGGAAGGAGATTAGTTGACAACCTGGGAAAAAACATTTTATATACAATTTATGACAGTCAAGCTATAGGTAGGCATTTAACCTAAATTAATAAATATTTCAAAGAAAACGTTTTTAAAGATAGGTGAGATTTCATTGACGATCTCAATGAGAGTCAAGACTCAAGAGGTTTGGAATCTCTAAAATGCAATTCTGGTTGTCATTGATAGTAGTACTACTGATCCTGAGGACGGGAAGGTACTGAAGGTGGATGTGCAGAAAGCTCTCAAAGAGTTCAGATTGAGCTCTATGATTGCTTTTGTAACACTGAATCTCCAGCACCCAGTATAGTTCCCGCTACATGTTAGGCATTTGGTCTTTGCATAAACAATCGAATGAATGAGTATAAAGGGAATAAAGAGTAATCAATGCTGACTCTGTATGATTTAAAATAATTCATTTTAGTTGATGACAGTTGGCCTCTGGTCTCCACAGATTTTGTAACTCCTTGATAAGTTCTCAGTGTGTATCTGTTTCTACATAATCAGTATAGTCATGATAATAATCGTTCTCTACCTCTCTGTAGCTAGAAATTTAGAGTAGTTGAAATCTGTAGGAATGTACGTCTGAGGGCCAAAACTATGACATATTTGGAGCAATTCTTAAATGGATTAACAAGTTGTAATACAGTTTGGTGAATGTATTGCACTGACACTGTACATTGTGCTCTATCCATCCCTATTAAATGTTATTTTCTCTCCTTTAAAAAATAAAATAAAATAATTCATTTAAAAATACAGAAATATTAACTGAGTTGAAGCTCAAAAAAAACTGTTTTGTGGTCACAAGACTCAAATGAGTTAAATAATGCCAGTAGAATTTAGCAAAGTAAACAAAGGGCACAGTTGAGATGAAAACGAATAGTCATCACTCCTAATTGCCTCTGTTAAGTCTCCCACCAACAAATTAAAGATCCTATAATGAGAAAAACCATATAGACATGAAGTTAATAATAAATTAGAGAGTAGAGGAACATAAGATCAATCTAGCTTCATCTAGGCAGCTGCTAATTTATCAGAGAAAAATTTAGTAATAGGTATCAAGGATCACAAAAATGTTCAAACTTTTGAAACTTCTAACATTACTTCTGAACTTTGTCATAAATTAAAGAAAAATGTATTATGAAAAACTAATGTAGCATTATTTATAATTAATGGAAACAAGTGAAATTTGTAATGATAATCTAATAGGGAAGAAATAAACCTTAGGCTATTGTGGATTCAGACACCTGCTTGAGGCAACTTGTACACAAACTTGGAATCAACAGCTGCAGAGAGACAAGCAGACTGAACTATTATCTCTCTGCACAGAGGTTCCAAATATTTATATATGGTAAAACAAAGAAAGAAAAGAAGAAAACTGGAATGCTAATGAGGCCATTAATAATTTAAATAATTAAAATACTATTTTATAAACCAATAGTATTCCTTAATACAAACATATCTGATGGCTTTGTGTAATTTTTTTACCAAATGTTTCAAACTTGGGCATTATCATAACTTTTAGGATTACAGGGCCATTTCTCTGATAGGTTAAGAAATATTATGTAGTAATGTAATTTTATATGAAAGTCCCTATGTATTTATATTGCATCTCTAGAAGAAATAGGATGTTAATCTATTTTGGAAGACTCAGGTCCAATTTAATTGTACTTTGAGACTTCATCCTGATGAATCAGCTAAGTAGTTTCTTGGTTCAATTTGCTGGGTTTTATATACATATATATTACATATAATTACGTTTTTCTTTGGAAAGTTGATTTACTGAATAATAAAAACATTTTAGGCCCAGGACATTGCTTCCTTTCTACAATGGTTCCTCAAGGCTGAACAATAGGATATATATAACATTCTCCTTTCAAAGTGTTATACTGCATACTATAAAAATTAAATGAATGATTTTACATCAACTCTGTATATGTGAGAATGCTGTGAACACTAAGTGAAAGAACTTTGTTTTGTTAGCAGTACATGCTAGTGACCTAGAATAAAATATAGTTCAGGTTCATTAGATAATTGTAGAATGAGTAAATGAATACCTTAGATAAATAATTATAAAGTTGTTAAAATAACAATTACAGAACCAATGTAAAACGTGGAAAAATTTATGCCAAATTGTGGTTACATTAATTAAAAGTATATAACATAAACGTACAATGATTAAATGGGGACTTACATTTATCATTTATAAAAAACTATTTTGTATTTTTATAATCCTTTAATACTTTAAATGTAAATAATACAAATAATTAAATTCCTCAAAGATAACAGTTATCATTGACAAACATATTACTATTTATTTCATGATACTTTGATTTATTTTGTTTTACTTCACTTTTTATTTTTGAGATAGACTCTTGTTCCGTTGGCCAGGGTGG